CCGGAGCACACCCACGCCGACACGGGGAGAATGTGCAAACTCCGCAGAGTTTGAATTTCAGGGAAAGGCAGAACTGTAGTTGTAAAGTAAGGTACGAACCAAAAGCTAGAACATATAATTACAAATAGCTCTTCCACAGCCAAACAGCTTTATTCTGTGCCATAAGTTTTCATTTTTTTTATTTCTATTATCCATACGCTTGTTACCAATACGGTCTAAACGCCTCTTCAATATTTTCATTCCCTGCAGCTCCAGGAGGAGAGTGGTCCTCCTTCCCTTGGTCTGAGAAAGTGCTTTTCCTGATGTTATTGCATAAGGGCTCAGGTCTAAGTGACAAATACTTCTATTTACGGATACTGAGAGACCTGGTGTCTATTTTCAGCATTTTCCACCATTCTGTTATTGCAACGCTTTAACGGCGACGACTCAAACCATCAAAGACGTTTCCACAACGTCACCACGGCGGTGGTGGGCGGAGTCTGAGCTCTGGAGTTGCGGGGGAGGGTGTCAGGTTGAGGGCGGAGTCTTTTCGGGGCGGGGTCAGAGCTCGAGGTTCGAAGACGGCGCGCGGCGGGGGGGTGTGGCCAGAGTTCGGCGGGCACCTCGCAGCCGCGGGCTCCGGTAACGGTTGGAAATTGGATGGTTGGTGTAAGTGAGAAACGGGAGCTTGAGGCTCTAAGCGATGAAAGTGGGTTTTCCGTTTTATGTTCGCGGGAGGGGGAGTGTTGGTTTCTCTGATTTGGCGGCTGTGTGTATCCTCCAGAATGACCCTGCACCTCTACCAGCTATTGCTTTAAAGGTAGACTTGCATTTCTGTAGCGCCTTTGACATCCACAGGGTGAGCCGCAGCTCTTCGCAGCCAATGAATTGCTTTTGAAGCGTAGAAATTGTTGTATTGTAGGAAAGATCCCATCAACAACAATAATGTGATGTTGGGTGAGGGACTAATATGAGTCCAGGACCCCAGTGAGAGTTGTAGTGCTCTGCTTTAGAGTAGAGCAGCTCTACCTGAGAGGGCAGGGCAGGCTTGGCTTTATCTGAAAGATGGTACCCCTGAAAACACAGTGCACCCTCAGCGCTGTGCTGAAGTGTAGTTTGAATTCTCTTCAGAACCTCATTTTGTTTCGTTTGGGCTTGAGCTCACATGTCTCAAAATGGAGAGGGTCTTTAGTATTTGGGGGAGTGAGAGAGAGGATTAAAGTTTTCAGGGCCTGCTTTCGTCCAACATCGGAATTGGGTGCGGATGCCCCATATGAGAAGCCCGAGGGCTAATGGCGAAGGTGTGGAAGGAGAATGGCAGGCAATGTTCTGTACAGGAGAACACATTTGGAATACTAGTGATCACCGACTTGATGCACAATCGCCTATAACAGGGAAACTTCTCAACGCCAGCGACAATCTGCATTCTCCTAGCAGGTTGGTTGTTTAAAAAAATGAGTCAGTAGGGGAAATGAAGAGAAATGTTAAATGTTAGAGTTGTGGTGGAAAGCACCACTTGAAAGTTAGATAAAGGGGTCTTTCTCAGGATGGCAGCCAGTGACAAGTGTTCTGCAAGGGCCAGTGCTAGGACCACAACTTTTCACTTTGTACATTAATGATCTAGATGAAGGAACTGTGGACATTCTGGCTAAGTTTGCAGACGATACAAAGATAGGTGGAAGTACAGGTAATATTGAGGAGGTGGTGAGGTGATTTGTACAGGTTAGGAGAGTGGGCAAAGAAGTGGCAGATGGAGTACAATGTGGGAAAGTATGAGGTCATGTGCTTTGGTGTGAAAAATAAGAGCATGGACTATTTTCTAAATGGGGGGGAAAATTCAGAAGTCTGAAGTGCAAAGGGACTTGGGAGTTCTAGTCCAGGATTCTCTCAAGATAAGATAAACTTGCAGGTTGAGTCAGTAGTCAGGAAGGCAAATGCAATGTTGGCAGTTATTTTGAGAGGACTTGAATATAAAAGCAGGGATGTACTACTGAGGCCTTATAAGGCTCTGGTCAGGCCACATTTGAAGTATTGCATGCAGTTTTAGGCCCTATATCTCAGGAAGGGTGTGCTGACCCTGGAGCAGGTTCAGAGGAGGTTTACGAGAATGGTCCCAGGAATGGAAAGCGTAACGTATGAGGAACGTTTGAGGACTCTGGAACTATACTCATTGGAGCTCAGAAGGATGAGGGGGAATCCAATTGAAACTTTCAGAATACTGAATGGCCTGGACAAAGTGGATGTTGGGAAGATGCTTCCATTGGTAGGAGAGTCTAGGACCCAAGGGCACAACCTTAGAGTAAAGGGGCCTTTTAGAACGGAGATAAGGAGAAACGTCTTCAGCCAGAGAGTGGTGAATCTATGGAATTCACTGCCACAGAAGGCTGTGGAGGCCAGGTCATTGAGTACATTTAAGACTGAGATAGATAGGTCCTTGATGATCAAGGGTTATGGGGAGAAAGCAGAAGAATGGGGTTGAGGAACTTATCAGCCATGAATGAATGGCGGAGCAGACCCAATGGGCCAAATGGCCTAATTTCTGCTCCAATGTCTTATGGTCTTATAAGTTACTCAAAAAGGAAATATTTGTTGGGCCAGGGAATTGGAATAGTTGGACAACACTTAAGGTACAATGGGTATAATGATCTTATTCTGGTGAGGGTAATTTTGTAAAATTAATAAGCTGTATTTTACTTTGTAGAGTTGAATGTGCAAACAAAATTCATAAGCACAGTGTGGGGCTGGACATCTCTGTTATTAAGAGGCAGTGTTTAACACAATTGATATTCTTCCTCTAATCATGGAACATTGCTGCTGTTATGAGCTGTCAAGGTGTGATTTAGTATCCTGTTCATCACCAAAAAAAACAAAACTAATCCTTCATCCTGTGTCCCATTGCATAGAAAATCTAGCGGAGAATTCTCAGGAGAAATTTTATGTAAAGCCAAAGAAAGACTTGTGTTTATATGTGTCAAAGTACCTTATAGCCAATGAAATATGTAAGAACTTGGCAGCCAATTTCCACACAGCAAGCTCTCATGAATAATGTTCAGATAATCTGTTAATTTTTGTGATATTGATTTTGAAGGATAAATGTTGGTCTGGGATATTACTGGCCCACTCTTCTTTGAAACATTACTAAGGGAGCTGTTACATCCACTCGAGCAAGTAGGTTGAGCTTTGATTTAACATCACAGCCACAGATGACAGCTCCAGCAGTGCAACACTTCCTCAGTTCAGCACTGGAGTGACAGCCTTAATTTTTGTTCTCAAGCCCTAGTGTGCAATTTGTACCCTGAACATTGTGATTCAGCGGCAATGGCGCTACCAACTGAGCCACAGTTGATCCAACAAATTGAAATCTTAGAGACAATAGGTGAGAAAGCCACATATTCTGCATTGAGTGGACAAAGCCTCAAATAGATGAGCAGGATTGCAGTGATGTGGAATTATTTTTAATTGTAGTTATGATTTATAAAAGGAAACTTGGGTCTTTATATGTGTAATTCCAACAATCTGTTTGGTGTGGCAGGTAACGAATGACCCCAGTAAGTGGTTACTGAGGACCAACCAGATACATGAATACTGTCCTGGCCTCTTAATTTTCTTGTGAAAAGTCCAATGCAATGAATGAATCTGGAACAGAATAGAATCTATGCATTGAGTAGCTGGTTTAAGATTTTTAATCCAATTAATTTGATTCATTGAGAAAATCAAAGTTCTGCATTTGAGAAAAAAATTTTTCAACCACAGTCAACACTTAAAATGAACTGTTTGATTTCTCCTGGCATCTTGGTCCCTTTTAAGCCTCAGTTCTCCACCCTCCTATACTTGTGCCTCCTTCTCAGGCTTACCCTCACGCCCTCATTTTCCTCCAAGCTGCAGATTGAATGAAAATGGGGTCTTCCTTTTAGTTACCAGCTAACCATGTTGCAGGAGCAGCTGTTGGGTGAGATAGACAGAAGAGCGAGAGAAGCCCAGTTCTTTCTTCCTGGTTTCAATCCTTGAGTGTCATTGCACTGGCTTCCAGCTGGTCATCCAAGGAGTAATGATCCAACATTTTGTACAAAATAGCAGCCAGGAAAAAGAAAGCAAAAATGTGGAAACAGCTGATGAGAAAAATATGGGAATTATTTAGGAATGGAGAAGCCCGAGGATGAAGCAATAGTAGAAAACCAGCTTTATTTATCACAGAAAAGGCTTGAGAGATTAGTTAGTACCACTTAACCTCATCTAAGGCAGTTTAGTGATGCAATGGTGAGCGTCCTTGAATCTGACATCAGGCCTCAATGGCCATGGAAGATGAGTTCATAATGTGGCCAAAGAGATTGATTACCAACTTGCAATTCCTTCCAACATATGCCAGTTAGAGGTGGTAAGAACAGGGTAGCGATCTGGACGACCATGTTGATAGTTCCATTACACTATTTGGAATACAACATGCATGTAAAATTATACATTGCCACAGTATTTTGGACTGTTTAGGGAATTCAGTTGTCTGGAGGGTGGTGTGGATCAGGTTGGTGCCAAATGCAAGGTGTTTGATCCCTGTTCTGTCAGAGGTGAATTCAGGACCTGTCTCCTTGCCCACCCAATAGTGGAAGTCATGGAACCATTGTTTCTGAAGAAGAGTCTAGGCCTGAAACGTCAGCCTTCCTGCTCCTCTGATGCTGCTTGGCCTGCTGTGTTCATCCAGCTCTACACCTTGTTATCTCAGATTCTCCAGCATCTGCAGTTCCTACTATCTCTGAACCATTGTTTGGACTTGCTTTCAGGCAGAGAATTGAAGAAGCAAAACTTTAATTCACCCCAAACTCTTGGATGGACAGCCCGGGATCTGTTCACCCATGGCAACACAATGTCTTAAGTGAAAATGCGTACAACAGCTCTGCTCTCCCTCCCATTCATACCTGGACCTGCAAACTCTCCAGAGCTCTTCCATCTTGAGATCCCAGCCCTCTGGCATTTTCTATCATAACGGTGATTGGCAAACTCCTATCCCAAAATAAATTCCCTCCTTTAATGATATTTGGATGTGGAACTTCAAAGCAGTTCAGAAGTTAGATTAGATGAGGGCTGACCCTAAGTTTGACTTCTTTTAAATGTGCATTATGGGTGTTGAGTGATTTGACAACAACAACTTGTGGAGCTGGCAATTGCAGAGATTGGGTTGCAGGGAGGGTCAATGTCATGGTGGGATTTGAAAACAAGACTGAGAATTTTAAAATCAAGACTTTGCTTAACTTGGAATTAATGTGGTGTTAAATGCTGGGATACTGGTTTGACAGAAGTCAACATAAGGTAGGATTAGGGACAGAGTTTTATTTGACCCCTGGATTATAGAGGGCAAATAGGGTTGGCTTACCAGGCAGCCCCGAATAAAATACAGATAAGGGTTCCAGCCAGTTGAGCTGAAGGATGGAATCTGGCAATGTTGCAAAGGTCCTAGTGATTCTATGTTCCAGCTGTTTTTTTCTCACAGCAACCCCCTTCCCCACCCCAAAATTAAACACAGATTGGAATCTAATCCTTCTCCAAATTAACCATATGCAGGGTGCCATCCATTTGGGCCAGCAGTGAATGGCAGAGTCAGGAGAAGAAAATGACTCTTGAGATGAGAACAAACATTAAAATTGGAAATCCTTCTATAAGATGAAACAAAGGCTGTCTTTACCATTGTGGTGTAAAATCATTCAAATGCTTTTTGTCTACAGGTGGAACCTTGTTATTGATGAAGTGTTTCTACCATGGCATTGGAGAAAGTTATCCAGGATGCACTGACCCAGTTTATTCAACTGCATATCCCGGATGCTGATCTCAGGTGGGTGGAAAAGGAAACATCTTGCACTTACATAGCAAGGGTGTGGTCATTACTGTGAAATGTTAAACCATGGATCCTATTAAATGGATGTAAAATAAAAAGGCTTAGCATATTTTGAAGGGCAGGGGAATAACCTTGATGCCCTGGTCAACACGATTTAAAAAAACAGATCAACTTCCTTGATGTTTCTGTGATTTTACTGTGTGCAATTTGATTGTTGTGTGCATCTAAACAGTAACTCTATTTCAGAGTACTTCATTGGCTGCCAAGTAGTTTTGGTAACTAAAGCAGTGAAAGGAAGTTGATCTGTTTTTTAAATCATGTTGACCAGGGCATCAAGGTTACTCCCCTGCCCTTCAAAATATGCTAAGCCTTTTTATTTTACATCCATTTAATAGGATCCATGGTTTAACATTTCACAGTAATGACCACACCCTTGGCAAACATCAATACTCCACTAAAATGCCAACTTGATGTATGTGCTTAAACCTTCCTCTCTAGGTTGAAACTGTGATGTTTTGACTCGGGTCAGAGTGTGAACTCTGAATCAAAACTGAACACCCTGGTGCACTGAGCTTTACATAGCCGAGGCCAGGTGCCAACTCTGACACGTCCTCCTACCGCCCCCTCGATCGTGACCCCACCCCTGACCACCGAAACATCATCTCTCAAACCATTTACAACCTCGGGTGATCTCCCGCCCACAACCTCCAACTTCATCGTTCCCCAACCCTGCACTGCCCATTTCTGTCTCCTTCCCAAAATCCATAAACCTGACTGTTGCGGCCAACACGTTGTCTCTGCCTGCTCCTGCCCCACTGAACTCATCTCTGCTTACCTTGACTCTGTTTTCTCCTCCTTGGTCCAGGAACTCCCCAGCTACGTCCAGGACACCACCCACGCCCTCCACCTCCTCCAAGACTTCCAATTCCCCAGCCCTCAACACCTCATATTCACTATGGACATCCAATTCCTATATACTTGCATTCCCCACGCAGATGGCCTAAAAGCCCTCTGCTTTAACTCCTCCCACTTCCTACAGACAAGAGGGTGACCACGGGAACCCACACGGGCCCAGGCTACACCTGCCTCTTCATAGAATACGTGGAACAGTCCCTCTTCTGCTGCTACACTGGCACTATCCCCCACCTCTTCTTCCACTACACTGATGACTGTATCGGCGCTGCCTCGTGCTCCCACGAGGAGCTTGAACAGTTCATCAACTTTACTACACCTTTCACCCAACCTCAATTTCACATGGACCATCTCTGATACCTCCCTCTTCTACCTGGACCTCTGTCTCCATCTCTGGTGACCGCCTCAAAACTGACATTTATTTCAAGCCCATCGACTCCCACAGCTATCTAGAATACACCTTTTCTCATCCACCTTCCTGCAAGAATGTGATCCCCTACTCCCAATTCCTCCGCCTCTGCTGCATCCGCTCCCAAGATGGGGTGTTCTACTCCTGAACATCCCAGATATCCTCTTATTTCGGACTGCGCCCCCGCCCCCGCCCCGTGGTCGTAAATGCTCTCGGCTGCATCTCTTGCATTTCCCACACCTCTGCCCTCATATCCCCTACCCCCAAAAAAAATAAAGACAGAATCCCCCTTGTCCTCACATATCACCCCACTAACCTCAGTCTCCAACGTAACATTCTCTGCCACTTCTGCCACCTACAATCCAACCCCACAAACAAAGATATACTTCCCTCCCACCGCTGCCTGCCTTTCGTAGGGACTGCTCTCTCCGTGAGTCTCTCGTCCGCTCCACACTCCCCACTAACCCCATCAACCCCGGTACTCTTCCCTGCAACCGCAGGAAGTGCTCCACCTGCCCCTACACCACCCCCCTCACCTCCCTTCAAGGCAGCAAACAAACCTTTCACATCAGACAGAGGTTCACTTACACATCCGTTGTTGTGGTCCATTGCATCCGCTGCTCCCAACATAGCCTCCTCTACATCAGTGAAACCAAGCGGAGGCTCGGAGAGCGCTTTGTAGAGCACCTGCGCTCTGTTTGCGACAAATGACAACATGTTCCGGTCACAAACTATTTCAACTCCCTGGGTGACATGTCCCATCCTGGGCCACCTCCAGTGTCACAATGACGCCACCTGGAAACTGGAGGAGCAGCACCTCGTATTCCACCTCAGGACCCTACAGCCCAATGGCTTAAATGTGGATTTTACCAGTTTCAAGATCTCCCCACCCCCGGCCTCATCCCATGATCAACCCTCCCTCTCATCCCCACCTCCTTGACCTGACACAACCTGTCCAATTTCTCTCCCACCTATCCGCTCCTCCCACCTCACTGACCAATCCCCACCACTCCCTACCTGCACTCACCTATCACCATCCCACCTATCTTCCTCAGGCCCACCCCTCCTCTCTATTTATTTCTGAGCTCCCCTCCCCTATTTCTGAAGAAGGGTCCTGACCTGAAATGTCAACTTTCCTGCTCCTCTGCTGCCTGGCCTGCTGTGTTCCTCCAGCTCCACGCTGTGTTATCCCTGACTCCAGCATTGGCAGTTCTAACTAACCCAAGTGAAAAGTTGTTGCTTTAACTGTGTGACCTGTTGATCTAGCTAATTGCTTTAGTTAAACAGTAAATGGTGTGGCAGTGTGTTACAGTTCCCTTGGAGTCTGAGTTGCTGTGACATGTACTTTCTCCGTGTTAATCTGGAGATATAGTTAGTAGAGGTGAGGTTCCAACATTTTCTCCATAAAACATGGCTGACCTGGAGTCTCTGTCTCTGTCTCTGTCGCTCGGTCTCGCTCTCGCTCCCTACTATTGGCATGTTTCAAAGGATTTGTGGATTGTTACTGAACCTACTTAGCCATGTTATGAATGCACCCTTGGCCGTCATGTTCTGGACTGACACATGAACCCATAGCTTTTGGCTTAGAGGCAGGGATGCTCCCTACTGTGTCAAAGTGACCTTGGGATTAGGATGCAGAGTTGTTTTTAAAATGGACTGTGGATGAGGTCAGGATAAATCTCTGCTGAGATGTTCTTCAATTTTGAATGGATTGTCAGAAATCGACATCTGGGATACAACAATGGAATGCACTTAAATACAGTACAAAACAGCTCAGAGGGGAATGATTGTGACCTGGGCATAGTCTTCGGGAGGGTGCTGAAAAATGGGAGATTTGGACCACATGAATCATCAGAAAAATCTCCAGCAAGTAAAGGAAGATGCACCTCACAGGAAGGGAGCAGAGGAACTGGAGGCACAGCCTTCAGGTTAAGACACAGGGATCGCAGACAAATCCCTAGGGACAGTAACTCTGGGAAGAGAATACAAATCTCGATAAGTCGTTGGGAGCTCAGAAACATCTCAGAAGGGAGCAAGTGTTCACAGACCCAACTGGAAAATGAAAAAGGGCACAACAAATGTATTGTCTATAGAAGTGGTTTCGACCAAATGAACCCTCTGTGCAATCACCAGAAACAAGCAGAACAATTGGATGGACATGCCTCAAAGAGGAAGACAGCAAAAGGGTGTCTTGAAGAAAACATGACTAACACTATAGAATCTGTACAGTGTGGAAATAGGCCCTTCAACCCAACAAGTCCACACCAATCTGCCAAAGAGCACCCACCCAGACATGTTCCCCTACCCTCTTCCCTGTAACCCATGTAATCTGCACATCCTTGACACTATGGGCAATTTAGCACGGCCAATCCACCTAACTTGCATATCTTTGGACTGTGGCAGGAAACTGGAGCACCTGGAAGAGACCCACAGAGACACTGGGAGAATGTGCAAACTCGACACAGTCATTTGAGGCAGGAATCAAAACTGGGTCCCTGGTGCTGTGCGACAGCAGGGCTAACCACTGATCCACCGTGCTGCTAATTGAAAATATTAATTCCGTTTCTCTTCCCAACCTGATGAGTGCTTTCAGGCATGTTTTGATATCGCCTAATTCGTGACCCAAAAATTTTAGAGCAAATTAAGTAGCTCTGAAGTGTTCTAATGTTAGAAATGTGACAACAATTTCCATAAATCAAAGTTCCACACATCAACATAACTAACCAGGTTATTTGTTTTGGGTAAAAGCAAAATACTGTGGATGCCAGAATTCTGAAGTACAGAGTGGTGGAGAAACTCAGCAGGTCTGGCTGCATCTTTGGAGAGGGAAACAAAGTTAATATTTTGCACCCAATGACTTTTTTTAACCAGCTATTGATATTGTTTTAAAAAAAAAAAATCCATATTTGAGCAGAATCAAGTTGGCATCTAATACGCATACAATCATACAGTTGTACTTTTATTTCAGTAAAACAATTGCAAAACAATCAAGCCAAAAGTGTTTCAATAGCCTGGTAGAAAGGGAGTTGTGAAACAATACAGTAAGGCTACCAGAAACTCATTTGCACATTCAATGATTGACACTGTGTATTGAAACTGTGTCTGTGTTGAGATGGGACAGTCACATTGATGATTTTGTTCTCCCTGTAGTGTGATGGATGAGGTGATTCTCTCCTATATCACCAGTGTACTGGAGGAACTTGGATCTCCAGACTCATCTGAAGAGAACTTTGATGTGGAAATGTTTGTGGAAATGATGGCGGCTTATGTCCCAGGCTTCGCAGAGATAAGCAGGTGGGCAATTTTTTGCACTTGCAGGTAGTTTGATAATGTATTGAATCACTGGAGTTTGGGAGGAATCCTGAAGAACCTCCACTATTGTTAATAATGGAGTACAAAATTGTATAGTCTAACATTTGAAAACTTGAGGAAATACAGATTTACAATTTATGTTAATATTTTGACATGGAATATTCTGCTTTGTTCCAGTTAGCTCTCTTCCCTTGAACATGCAGACTCTCGCTCATTACAGTTCAGCAATTGTGGCTGAGTGACTAGTGCTGTCACTTTTGAATCAGAAGGTTGTGGGTTCGAGCTCCTCACCAGAGACTTGGACAACATAAATCCAGGCTGACACTCTAGCTGTGTTATCACAGGTGCTATCTTTCAGATGAGAGCTTAATCTGAGGCTCCATTGTTGCCCACAGGAAGACGAAGGTTCCATAGTTTCATTTCATCAAAAAAAAGTAGGGGCTTTGTCCTCGGTGTCATGTTTAATACTTAAGCCATACCACCATTGGATGTAAAGTGCTTTGAAATGTAATGAAAAGCAATATATATTGATCTTCCTGTCTTTCTGGGCAGTACAGTTCGGTAAGTGGCCATTCTTCATGTTGCCGGTATGAGTTGGCAACTTATTCTCTTCTAATGTGCAGTTTCTGATGGCCACTATATAGTATTGAAAAGAGTTGCATACTTATTTTTGCCCTCCATTGTCGCTGGGTGAGAACAATTGAAATAGGGATTCTACCTTTTGGTCTTCTGGTACATTTGCCTCAGCACCAGAAGATACAGTGCCTTTATCCACTGAGCAATCAGGGAAGCATTAAGAAGGTACTGTACTCTTGCCTGACTCGGGGTACTATTAGACACAGCGTTGAAGACCAGCACGAGAGCCTTGGATAAGATAAAACCACAATGGTCAGGTTGAGATTTGATGAAGGAATAGACTTTTTTTTTTAAATTTCAACTTTATTGTCACGTGTCTTCAAGTACAAAAGTACAGTGACAAGTTTTCAATGTTGCTACACCACAGTGCCATCTTAGGTACAAGTACTTAGGTACAAGGTAGAAAGAAATGCGGAACAATGTTAAAAGTTAAATATTGCTGTCACTCTTAGTGTATCATAAAAATTAAGTTAAAAGTTAAACATTACAGTCGTCCTTAGTACTTAATTGAAAATAAAGAAATAAAGCTAAAAGTTCAACCAATGCAGTCATGCTTAAGTGCTTAGCCATGCTGGGACTGGATTTCCTACAAGGGCTTGATCTCCTCCTCTTTGGCACACTTTTTCTGAGCTGGCTCAATCTCCCCTGCTCTCATCATTGCTACAGATGTCGGGGGGCCCTCCATTGCTGTATTGGGCTCACTGCTGGGATTTCAGACCACCAAAGTCCCAATCCAGGCTTCAGCCAATGCCACACACCAGACCGCCAAAGCCCTGACCCAGACACCATCTGTGCCGGACCTTGGTCTGCACACCAGGCATCAGGAACTCAGCGAGAGTCCCAGGTCAGGCCTATGGCCACAGCCTCTCACTAGACATCTAACCAAATTCAATGAGCCCGATGCTGCTGCTGCTGCTGCTGCTGCCTGTCTCCAGAAGGTAGGTTAGTAGAAAACAAACTTGAAAACAACTAAAACTAAAGAGAAGAAAAGAAAAAGAGGAGTGGATGAGCCTACTCCACCTCCATCTTGCAGAAATGTGAGATAAGTAGTAAAGTGAGCTAAGTGAAATGATGCAGATAAGTGGTTTCACAACCAGCGGATGAGATCTAAGCTCTGTAGTCCTGATACATCCAATTGCTAATGGTGGTGGACAATTAAACAACACACTAGAGAAGAAGGCTCCACAAATACCCTATCCTGTATGACAGGAGAACCCAGCACATCAGTGCAAAAGATAAGGCTGAAGCATTTGTAACCATCTTTGCCAAACATGCCAAGTGGATGACCCATATTGATATCCTCCAGAGGTCCCCAGCATCACAGATGTCAGTCTTCAGCCAATTCAATTCACTCCATCAAGAGTGTGTCACAAGGATTGGTACTGGGTTCACTGCTTTTCATCGTTTATATGAACGATTTGGATATGAACACAAGAGGTTTAGTAAGTTTTCATCTGACACCAAAATTAGAGGTGTAGTGGACAGCGAAGAAGGTAATCTCAGAGTACAACAGGATCTTGATCAGATGGGCCAATGGGCCAAGGAGTGGCAGATGGAGATTAATTTAGATAAATGTGAGATGCTGCATTTTTGGAAAGGCCAATCGGGGCAGGATTTAAACACTTAATGGTAAAGTTTTGGGGTGTGTTGCTGAACAAAGAGACCTTAGAGTGCAGGTTCATAGTTCCTTGAAAGTGCAGTCCCAGGTAGACAGGATAGTGAAGAAGGTGTTTGGTATGCTTGCTTTTATTGACCAGTGCAATGAGTATAGGAGTTGGGAGGTTATGCTGTGGCTGTACAGGACATTGGTTAGATCACTTTTGGAATACTGCCTGCAATTCCGGTCTCCCTGCATTAGGAAGGATGTTGTGAAACTTGAAAAGGTGCAGAAAAGATTTACAAGGATGTTGCCAGGGTTGGAGCTGTAGTGATAGGCTGAATAGGCTGGGGCTATTTTCCCTCAGTTTTCTCAGTTGGAGACTGAGGGTGACCTTTATAGATATTTATAAAATCAAGAGGGGTGTGGATAGAGTGATTGGCAAGGTCTTTTCCCCAGGGTGGGGTAGTCCAAAACTAGAGGGCATATGTTTAGGGTGAGAGGGGAAAGATATGAGAGACTGAAGGGGCTACTTTTTCACACTGAGGGAGGGATGTGTATGGACCGAGCTGCCAGTGGAAGTGTTGGAGGCTGGTACAATCACGACATTTAAAAGGCATCTGGATGGGTATACAAATAGGAAGGGTTTATAGGGATATGGGCCAAATGCTGACAAATGGGACTAGATTAATTTAGGCTATCTGGTCGCCATGGACCAGTTAGACCAAAGGGTCTGTGTCTGACTGTAAATGGCTGAAGTCACTATGGATATTCTGGGCCTTGACCTCATTCTGGTAATAGTACTAAAGACTTGTGTTCAAAATGAGCCATGTTCCAAGGCAAATTGTTCCAGTACAACAACACCTACAGCTTCCCAGCAATGTAGAAAATTGCTCAGCTAGGTCCTGTACGCACAAATACAACCCAGCTAATTATCACCAATCCATTCTCGACTATCAATGAAGTGATAGAAGATATCATCAATTGTGCTAACAAGCCATACTTACTTAGCAATAACCTGTGCATTGATGCTCAGTATGGGTTCTGCCAGGACTGCTCAGCCCCTATCCTTATTCCAGCCTTGGTTAGAACATGGACAAAAGAGCTGAAAGTCAAAGGTGAGGTGAGAGTAGGTGCCCTTGATGTCAAACTGTATGACATCGTGCAGCCCTAGGAAACCTGGAGTCAGTGGGAATTCTACGTTGATTTGAATCATACCTGGCACAGAGAAAGATGGCCATGATTGTTGGAGGTCGGTCATCTCGGCTCCATGGCATCTCTGCAGGAGTTCCTAAGAACCCAAGCATCACCCCTTAACATTCAATGGCATTAACATTCCTTATCCCCAGTATTCTTGGGGTTACTATTGAGCAGAAACTGAACTGGAATAGATATGAATACTGAGGCTATAAGCGCAGGTCAGAGGCTAGGAATCCTGTAGTGAGTAACTCCCACCTCCTGACGACTCAAGTTGTCCAACATCTACAAAGCACAAGTGAGGAGTGTGATGGAATGTTCCCCACTTGCCTGGATGAATGCAGCTCCAGCAACACTCAACAAGCTTCATTCCACCCAGGAGAAAGCAGCCCACCTGATTAATTCCACATCCACAAACGTTCATTTTCTTAGTGTCTGACACTCAGTTGCAGCAATGTGTAGCATCTACACGATGCACTGCAGAAATTCACCAAGGTTCCTGAGGCAGTATCTTCAGAACACATGACCACTACAATCTAGAAGAACAAGGGCAGCAGATACATAGGAATGTCACCAGCTGCAAGATCCAAACAAGCCACACACCATACTGACTTGGAAATATATCACTATTTGTTCAGTATTGCTAGGTCAAAATCCTGGAAATCCATTGCTAACAGCATGGTGTGTCCCTATACCACTGCAGAGATCCAAGAATGAGGCTTACCATGCCCCTCGAGGGCAATAAAATGCTGACAATGTCCACATCCCATGGATGCATAACAAATTAATATTTTCAGATCTGACATGGATGAATGGCAACATTTTTTTTTTGCACACATGGACACCATCATTCCCTCTAATTTTCTTACTGTCTTTGCAGGCCTCTGAGTCCAGTGCGCAGTGCTGACTTCTGGAGTAATGCCACATGCAGAACTGTGGAGCGGTTGCACATATGCACAGCTTACAGAGAATATTGATGGGCACCATATTTTTCTTTTTTTTTATTATTAATTTACAGCATGTGGGCATTGCTGGCTAGGCCAACATTTATTGCCCATTCCCTAACTGCCCAAGAGTCAACCACACTGTTGTGGGTCTGGAGTCACAGGCCAGATCAGATAAGGACGTTCCTTTCCCAAAGGGCATTAGTGAACCAGATAAGTGTTTTCTGACAATCTGCAATAGAATCTTAATTGCAGATTCATTTTAAAAATTAAATTCAAATTCCACTGTCTGTTGTGGCGGGAAATGAACCCAGTCCCCAGGACATTGTCTGAGTTTTTGGATTAATAGTCTAGTGATAATATCACTAGGCCATCGCCTCCCCTGATTTAAATTGGAGTGGGGTTTTGGGAGTTCGAGGACTATATTGGTTCACAGAATGTAGGTAGTGCTGGCACGGCATTTAATGCCCATCCCTGATTGCCATGCACAAGGTGGTAGTGAATTGTGGGTGGGGTGGGGGGTGTGCAGGTATTGTATTTATACACACTGTTGTTAGGAAGAGAGTTACAGGATTTTAATCCAGCCACAAGTCAGAATAGTGTGTGGTCAGAGGGTGTCAGAGTACACGAAGCTTCAGATTTGCAACTAGTGGTTTGAACCTTGTAAAAGTAAATAGTGTAAATTGGTTTGTGATACCAGAGTGATTCTATATTGAATGAAAAACATTCATCAGTCTCTGTAAAATATGTTGTTTAGTCTTCATCTGGAAAATGGCAGCCAGTTTGAGTCCCTGTGCCAGCTGGCTGATGAAGAGAAACCAGTATTGTCTACTTGGAACACTGGAAGCTTTTCAGTTATTGTTTCCCCGCCTCACCCTTCCTTGCAGCACAGATCAGTTGGGCTACGCGTTGGTTCCTAATTGCTCTGTAAGGAGAGTTGATAACCCACCAGAAATGGAGAACTCGTTCCCCCTCTAAACCTCTATGTACTAGTTTATTCTGTGACATTAGTCAATTGTCTGAGAATCAGTTGCTCTTATAGTGATCAAACTTGGAGCCTCACTGCTCTGTGTAGCCTGTCTGTTCAGGTGGTAAATGGGGAGAATCATTCATGAAGAATTTGTACGGGATGCATTGAGGGAAACTGTTCCCATTCCTGAAAGGATCAGAATGAGAAGGCAGGGATTTATTGCAACTGGTAAAAGAATCAATGATTTTGTGTAAAATCTTTTTCAAGCAAGAGTGGTTAAGGTCTGGAATGTACTACAGGAGTGTGTGGTGGAGGCAGGTTTAATTAAAGGATTCAAAAGGGAGCGTAATTGTCTGAAAAGAGAGAATGGCATCAATTCAATTGCTAATTTGGAAAACCGATGCGGACACGACGGACCAAATGGCCGTCTCCTCTGTTGTGACAATTCTGTGATAAGCTTTAGTGATTGTTCGGCAGTTTTAAAACGGCCTGTTTATTTTTCAGTGTCACTATCTGCGAGATGATGTTTGATTTGGCTGCACGTTTGGTAGAAGCTCGTAACAAAGGTAAGACCCGAGGACTTTGTCAACTGGGACTGCTGTTGAGACAAGATGATATGTGTTAAGCTTAGCATCCATGCCTCTGCCAGAGAAGGGGAGAAATTATATTCTGCGTCCCATTCCTGAGAGACCAGGTGTCTATATGCAGAGAGGGTGAAGGAGAAAGGCAGACAGAGACTGTGGTAAATGTCAGTGGTTTATTTGCAGGGGTGTAAACACGAGCAGTAATTATTCAAAGCTGCAATTTTTCCCAACAATCATGTTTATGGTCTCTTTTATCACTTGAATGCATTCCTATGGAATTGAGAATATAGTGACATTTAAAATGAATGGATTCCCAGTGTCAACAGAAATGAAAGGAATGTTTATGAAGCCAAATGTGGGTGTAGTCAAAATGGCTGCATTTTTTAAAAAAAAATCTCCATTAGTCATAATTTGACCATCTTGTAGGTCATTAATTAAATTCTGCAAAATACTTTGACTAGTTTTACATCAAAATGTGATTTAACATACCAAGTTGACTTTAGGGATTTTTGTATATAATGGGTATCATTTTGCTTTGGATAGTTGACACCACACCAGTTTTTTTTTTTTTTATACAAACCTGTGAGGAGCGTACAATACTAAACATTATGACTGGTCCTTTTTCTCATTATTGTTCATGGGACTGTCTGGTCACATTGGTGGACAAAACAACAGCAACACTTTGCAACATCCTGAGATGTGAAGCTAAGTGAAAATCAGTCGCCTTTTTAGCCACTCTTTTTCTAATTCTCACCTAGTTTGTAATATCATCTTGGCTGTGCTGTCACCAGATTTTGTGGTGGGGGCATGTGTTGAATTAGGTAGGGGCGATAAATGGGTAATGAAAGAGATGGTGACCCACTTCTTTCTGGTGAGCAGTAGAGAGGTATTATTGTATGTTGAAAATGGTGGCATATATTAATTGTCTTTGAGCACGTGTAAATAGAAGGAAACTGTAATACTGAATGTGGGATTAGAGGGGTAAGATTGAGCAAGTCAATTAACTTTCTTTACAAAGAAAAGATGTGATCCTTGATCTATATCTCACCAACCAGCTTGGAATCTATTAACAGAAGTGGTAACTCATTTCACCCTCCTCTTTGCTTTTATGTGCAAACCCCCCGAACAAACCTCACCCTCCAACCTCCACCCTCCACCTCAACCTGTAACAGAATGGAGAAGAGCCAGAAACACCAATTGAAACCCAGTACTCCACCCCAGCAGCAGAGCAGGCACTGTCATTTTCATTTCATTTTAAATTATTACCTGATAAACAGATCTTCAGTGTTTTTGCTTACATTGCTGTTGGTTTGATAAGAAAGCAAGTGAAAGGATTTCTGGGTTCGGCAGGAGCGTTGACTAATCAGATCAGCCATGAACTTAGTGAATGGCAGAGCAAGTTCGAGAGGCTGAGTTGCCTATTCCTGCCTGATCTGCTGTGATCACCGGCATTTGTTGTTTTTAGTACAGATTCCAGCATCTGCAGTAATTTCCTCCTAAGTTATGTGTTTGTAGTTTGAACATTACATTTCAACCATAAGTCTTAGGAGCAGAAGTTGGCCATTCAGCCCATCATGACTGCTTTGCCTTTCAATGAGATCTTGGCTGATCCAATCATTCTTAACTCCACTTTCTTGCCTTTTCCCTATAACCCTTGAGTCTCTTACTCATTAAAAATCTGTCTATCTCAGCCTGGAATATATAGCAAACTGTTAAATTAACCAGCATCTATGGGACCAGGAATGTGCATGTTGACCAAATATTACAGATAATCAAGAAGTATGCATAACCTCAGTAAACCCTGACTAACCAAAGCTTCAAGACATCAATGTATCTCAGAATCAATGTAAAAACACATGGTAAGTAATAGAAACTTATTTCGGGGGTATACACGTCACTGTTATACTTTATTTACAGCATAAATACTCGGATATCAAGGTAGGTTGTGGTATTTGAGGTATGTAATTTTTGCTGGTTTATAAAGAGTACTGATTGACAAGGCGTCAGTTAAAACAAAGTTTGCTGTATGTAATGTTCCATCATTTTGATAGCCCTTTGCAGTAAGAAAGTTCCACAGGTTCATTAACCTCTAAGATAAGAAATTGCTTCTCATCTCTATCTTAAATGTGCAACTGCTCATCCTGAAATTATACCCTTTGGTTCTACACTACAACTTTTCCACGTCTACTCTGTCAAATCCCCTAAGAATCCTTTGCGTTTCGATAAGGTTGTTTCTCATTCATCTATGTTTCAATGAGTACAAGCCCAAACTGCTCAACTGCTCCTCATAAGACATTCCCTCCATACCTGGAATTAGCCTAGTGAGCCTTCTTTGGAATGCCCCAATGCTCGTATGTCTTTCTTTAAATACAGGGCTCAAAGTTGTTCATACTATTTATATTTGTGGTATGACTAGTACCTTGTATAGTTTCAGCAAAATCTCTCTAGTTTTATACTCCGTTCCCTTTGAAATAAAGATCAACATATCCATTTCCTTTCCCTTTAATTGTTGAACTTGGATTCTGGCTTTTTGTGATTCATTGATGAGGACTCCCAAACCCCTTTGTTCTGCAGCTTTCTGCAATCATTCTCCATTTAAATAGTATTCAGCTCCTCTGTTCTCTGTCAAAGTTTATAACCTCACATTACCCCACACTATATTGCATCTGCCAAGTTTTTGCCCACTTGCTTAACTTATCTATATCCCCTTGCAGACTTCATGTCATTGTCACCACTTACCTTCCCATTTATTTTTGCGTCGAGTTCAAAATTGTACATTCACTTTCCTCATCCAAGTCATTAATATATATTGGAAAATAGTAGCTCCAGCACTGATCTCTGTGGCACACCATTAGTTACAAGTTACCATGCTGAAAATGTCTCCCTTATTCCAACACACTATCTTCTGTTATTTAATCAATCCCTATCCATTCTAATGTATTACATACAAACTATGGGCTTTTGTCTTATTAAGTAGCCTAATGTGTGGTACCTTATCAAATGCCTTCTGAAAATACAAATACAGCACGTCCACTGTTTCCCCTTTTATCTATCCTTCTTGTTACCACCTCAAAGAATTCTAGTAAATTTGTCAGACATGCTGACTCTGCTTTATCATATTACGTATTATTAAATGCACTGCTGTTACATCCTTTATTATAGGTTCAACATTTTCCCAATAACAGACATTGAGCTAACTGGTCTATAATTACCTGTTCTTTGTCTCCTCTTTTTAGATAAGTGTTATATTGGCAGCTTTTCAATTCTTTGGGACTCTTCTAGTATCTAAGGATTCCTGGAAGATTACTACTAGTGCATCCAGTATCTCTAGCTATTTAATATCCCAGGACGCATCCCAATAGGTTCAGGGGACTTGTAGGTCTTTAGTCCCATTAGCTTTCCTAGCACTTTTGTCTAATGATTAGTTATTGTTTTTATTTCCACCTCTTCTTTTGCCTGTTGATCATTTAGTAATTTTGCAATGCTATTGGTGTCTTCTGTGGTGATGACTGTTGCAAGGCATTTATTCAACTCAGCCATTTCCAGTCTCCCCATTATTATCCCCTCAGCCTCATTCTCTAAGGGGTCTGTGTTCACTTTGGCTTCTCTCTTCCTTTTTATATATTGAAAGGAGCTTTTGCTGTCCATCTTGATATTACTTGCAAGATTACCCTCAAAGTTTATTCTTTCCATCATTATTTTTGTTTTGGTCATCTGTTGGTTTTTAAAACTTTCCCAATCTTCGGCTTACCACTTATCTTTGTCACATTGTATTTTTTTTTCTTTCAATTTGCTATCCTTCACAATGGTTGTATTATCCCCTTCCTAGAATCCGCTTCCTCACTGGATATTGTTCTTAAATGTCTGCCTAGAAGACATTGGAAAGGCTACTTTTGGACTACTGCGTACACTTCTGGTCACCCTGCTATTGGAAAATGTTATTAAACTGGAAAAGATGCAAAAAACATTCACCAAAGAGGTTACTGAAACTGAAACGGGAAGGTTTGAGACATTTTCCCCCCCACCTCTTCTTTCCCCCAAACTTCCGGAGTGTAGGAAGCTGAGGGGTGACCTTATAGGGGTTTATAAAATCATGAGGGACATATAAGGTGTATAGTCAAGGTCTTTATCAAAGCCAGGGAAGGGGAGTCCAAAACTAGAGGGCATGGGTTTAAGGTGAGGGGAAAGATTTAAGAGACCTGAGGGGCAACTTTTTCACACACAGGGTCGTGTGTATATGGAACAAGCTGCAGGAGGAAGTGGTAGAGGTAAGTACAATAGAACATTTAAAAGACATTTGGACAGGTATATGGATAGGAAAGGTTGAGAGGGATATGGGCCATATGCGGGCAAATGGGACTGATTCAGTTTTGGAAACCTGGTCGACGTGGACAGATTGGACCAAAGGGCCTGTTTCTGTGCTGTACACTGTATGACTCTCTGATAGTTGTTTCTGACCTGAGTTCTTCTCTGGGGCAATGAATAAAATTATATTTCTCATTTTGCTGTTGAGCCTTTTGTTGTCTGGTTGCTTTAATATGCCTGTGTGAGTTAAGTGTAATTCTTTCCTGTGCGGGTGAGGAGCTAAAGAAATTTGTAAATTCTGAAAGGCTGCCCTTGGTATTATCAATGCCAAGATATTTTTTTTAAAAAAGAAAAGTTCTAGCAATTTTATTGGTTGACTTTGCAATATTTGCTGCTCAACAATCGATCATTTTCCTGCCTGTTTGATTAAGGCATTCAGTGTAGCTATTAAGATGCAGGGGAAAAGGACTGTACGGGGCAACCAGTTGGTGTTCAAACTCTTATGTAAATGTGTAAAAGAAAAGGCTTGAATATATAGATGGCTCATTGGGATTCTCCCATCTGATTGCACTTTTCTTTATTTTCACAGAAAATGTTCGTCCCCTGACTGCTTCTCCAGATCATGAGTCCTTTTCAAAGGAACTGGCAAGTAGCAGAGAAGACAAGAAATCAGCAGACCCGGAAAGCAACCCAGTGGCAGGAGAGGGAGCCAGTGCAAAGGTTAGGCTACCTCCAGATTATTAAAGGAACTGGTTGTGTTGATCCAGGACAATTCCTCCCACTGCTGAGGGCTTCAGATACCAGGGAGAGCCCACTTTTGGTGTTGGTAAAATGGGAGGATAAGGGGTAGTCCAGTGGAGTTTTTGTATCCAAAGGCTTCAACATAAGGAGGCTACAGAAGTTGATGGTATGAAGATGGAGCAGAATGGTGACCTGGAGTCTCTGGGTACAGGCATGTCTGTGTCCAGCTGTATCGAGTGGTAGCAGTGAGGACTGGACTTAAAGGTTGGCCCGGCAGAGTTTTTGGGGACAGGGAAAGATGATTAGTCGAGAGGGTATCCTGGAAATGTCTGACACCACAGTTGTGTGCTGTAAATTTTTTTTTTAAAATACATTCACTGTATTACCTAGTGGGCCTGTATTTATTGCCCATCCATAATTGCTTTTGAGAAAGTGGTGTTAAGCTGGTTGTTGCAGTATGTGATGTGGCACCCACAGTGCTGTTAGGAAGTTAGTTTTAGGGTTTTGATTATGTCCATGCTGGAACAACAATTTAGTTCTAAACCCGGATGGTGTGTTTCTTAGAGGAGAAGTTACAAATGGTGTTGCCTTGTAATTGCAGTCCTTGTCCTTCTAGAGGATAGAAGTTGTGAGTTTAGAGGATGCTGTCAGAGGAAGCGAATGTGATAAAGCACCCAAATCAGGAATGACAATAAAGGCACAGTTTTGGGAGCTGATGAGTTGAATTGAACAAGCAGTAGTTTGTCTGGCTTTTGAAGGTGAACGTGAGCCTGTGACACCTTGGTGACCCTGCAGCTTTAAAAATATCCTGGGTTTTTGCATGACATCAACATACTCCTGACTTATAAATAGCCTATGGAAATCATCCCAGTCCAACCAATCTGTTTCTGTCCATTACATAACTTGAATAATACAACGCTTAGAGAAGAGGCTTTTATGACAAGATTTGCTTAATAAGTAACTGTAAATAGTTCAAGAATGATACAGATCTTGTAGGTGTCAGCAAAGACAGACGATGTAAATTTTTCCTGAAAGCTGTTAAAAGGGCAGACATTTTCACCCCCAGAAAGCACTTAAAAGGCCACATGTTTCTGATTTTTTTCCATACTGTGTGACTTGTCTTCTATTTTTTTGGCGAAATAGAGACACTTCTGGTTGTGGCATTTCTGTCATTAAAAGCAGAGTGGGCCTGACTCCCTTTATCACATGATTAAAGCCAACATTTAGACAACGCAAATGAGCCTGTAACTAAAAAATAAGCACTTCCTAAGGAGGAAGTTCCATAAGCTATTTAAATGCATTTTTGGTGCAACTTTACCCAGCATCCATTAGCATCCTGTTCACCTGTCAGGGTTATGATAGCTGAAAACAAACCTCCCTTTATGTTCACACACACACTCTTCCAACTCGAGTGAGGGATTGGTAATAAAAACAGGAAAATACTGGGAAGTTCAGCAGGTCTGGCACCATCAGTGGAAAGAGAAACCAAAGTTAACATTTTCAGGTTGATGCAAATTCACAAGCCCTGAAACATTAACACTGTTTTTCTCTCTTCGCAGATACTTCCTTACTTGCTATGTGTCTTCAAGCCCTTTCAGTTTTCATTTCAGACTTCCAGCTTCTGCAGTATTCTGCTTGCTGCATTTTCTTTTTAAAAATCCCTGAACATGTTTTTTCAGTAGTTAAAATGTACCTTATGGCACAATCTGAACATGTTGCAGTGGGTGATGAGCTACTTTTGTAGTGAAATAGCTCCATCTGCTGGTATGTAATGGTGTTTTAGTAAAAAGCAACAACTATTGCATTTACATAGCACCTTTTAACATGGTTTAATACCTTGAATTGCTGCACAGGGGTGTTACTAAACAAAATTTGACACAAAATTGTCCAGGTCACCAAAATCTCACTGAAATTTGAGAAGCCTCTGAAAAAGAGCAGAGAATTATGGAGAGAATTCCAGAGCTTTGGGCCTGGTCAGTTAAAGTTTAGCCACCAGTGGTGGAGCACAGTAAATTGGATGGAGCATAGATATGTTGGAGTGTTTGAGGACTGGCAGAGATTACTGAGACTGGGGGGAGGTGCAAGACTGGGAAGAGATCAGAGAACCACAATGAGAGTTTTAAAATCAGGCCATTGCTTCACTGGGAACCAGTGTGGGCCAGCAAGCACAGACGTGAAGGGAACTTAGGAGATGGGCAGCAGAGTTTTGGATGAGGGATGGGAGGCTGGCGTGAAAAGTCCTTAGTAGTCAAGGCATCAAGGGCGTGGATGATGGTTTCAGCAACAGATGAGCTGAGGCAGTGATAGAGTGCTGCATTCTTACATGTGGAAATAGGCAGTCTTCCTGATTACCTGGATGGGGTTAGAAGCTCCTCTTGGGGTCACATATGATACCATCGTTGCAAACAATCAGTGGTGAGGAGTGAAGGCAATGCTTTTTGATCCTCCCAGTAATCTATCCTTCATCAGAAATGGATGAACAAGACTGATTACAACCGTATGTGATTCCAGGTCATCAAGAAGACAGTCTTATTTCCACATATAAGAATGCTGAACTCTTATCACTGCCTCAACTCATTTGTTGCTGAAACCCTCATCCATTCCCTTGATGCCTTGACAGTTTCCAGGCCAGCCGTCCATCCTTTATAAGCCAAGTAGTCTGACAAGAATTTTTTTTAACCTTCTGCCCAAATAAAGCAAGCAAAAATTTCAGAGATCTGTGTTTTCTTGTCCCTAGTAACGACTGTAGAATGCCTTGCTATGAAGAAAGCTCAAATGCAGAAATATTGGGAGAAAATGGTAACGATGTTGTTTGTACCCTAGAATTGAATCCCTCGGTGCCAAATATTGAGTTTTGAGTTGACTAGCAGCTCAGTTATTTTTGGAAGCTCGTATATCGACATTGGGATTTGGAATAGCAGGGATTAAAATTTTAAATGGAGTTGAATACTGTAAACAATGGAAAAGTTTGTGTTGATTCTGGAAAAAAAAATTCTCTTTAATCCTTTTTCCCTTTTTCATTTATCCAGTCAGTTATTTTGACGTGGGCATTGGATTGAACCTAAACCCTAACCTGTGACATTCAGGATATCTTCTTAGCTGCAAATTTCCCAGACTCCAGGCTTCACCTCTCACTGCTTTTGCTGATTAGAAGTTTCTGAGAGTTCCACGCTCTTGATCTTTTACATTCACCCCCACAGGGGGAGAAAGCTTTGATTTAATAATTAAGAGCTTCACTAGGGATGGGCAGTAAATTCTGGCCCAGCCAGTGATGCCCACATCCCTTCAGTGAATAAGAGAAAGGTAGCACCTTCCTCAAGTGGCAGTCTCGATTAGCTGCTCTGTTCTTGCAATGGTGTTTGACCCTATCACCGTCCTGTCTGCTTGACTGTATCCTTTAGGTAATCAAACTTCTCTAAGAAGTGCGCTGTGAAAGAAAAAGCCAGTTTATCAAAACAGCTCCTGTCTCATCAAGATTCTTTACTTGGAAACAGTTCTTTGTCGGCACATAATGAACCCTCACGTCATTCTTTGCCTAAAATTCTAGAGCTCCAGGTTGAGGTCTCTGCTCTGAGTTTAACTATTCAATG